CTTGGGTCTGACATTGACAGTTTTAAAAATTTTTATATAAAAAAACCCTAAATATAAGATGAAGTCCACTTACAATTTGAAGCGTCTATTCTTCATATTTTGAAAAAATTGAATAATAACATCATTGTCAATACAATATATATATTTTTTCAATATAAGCAATTAAAGTATCATTCATCCACTGGTCTCCAATTCGATTGCGTAATCAATTTTTTATGATAGACATTGCATAAAATGCTCTTTCAACTCCTATTGTTGCAACCGATAGTACTAATGCCAGCTTCAGTAACCTAAAAATAATGGGATATTATATTTCCTTCATGTTCTGAACCATTGTTTTAGGAAGACTTCCTATTTTCTTTAACAATTTGAATTGAATATTAAACTGCATATCCATAATATAAGTTTTCAACATATTATAAAGAATCATCAAATCTAAAGGTGTGAAATCAGTTGGATATAAGTTTGCAATTCTAATGAACTTATCTTTGTTGAATGCATGAAATAAATTTGATGGATTCAAACAAGCAATACACAAAAGTAATTCAGTACTAGCCTCTGTGAATTGATTATTCAACTATTGAAGGTGCATATCAAGTACTATGAAAAATATATCAACTCGATAATATTATAAAATTTTCATTTCTTGAAGTCCACATCGTGGTCGTCCACGAGCAACCCATTTATCATTTAGCTTTGAAATAAAATTTTTTTGTTCAACTCAAAATGAATTTACCTTTTTAATGAAGGCATCCCACTTATTATCTCTCATATCTTGTAATCTAATGTTTGATATTTGAACTAAAGACATGACATTCATGATATCCTAATCTTTTCTTTGCAAAGCTTCTAATAGTTCATCAGTGATTTCAAGTATGTCTTTCATTAAGTGCAGACAAAAAGAGAAGTCAAAAGATTGCAATGAATCTAATAATGCAAATGCCTCTCCTCTTTGTTCAGAGCTCATGCCATCATCCAAAACTATTTCGAGCACATTTATAACTTACAAAAATATTGTAATCAATCTAATTAGTGACTCATAATGTGAACCCCATCTTGTTTCTTCAACACGCCTTAACGGTATTTCTTCATTTAATCCTCGTCCAGTATTCACCTCACCATTATGTAATGCACTTGACATCATCTCGCATTATTTTTCTCTAAGTTGATCACGACATTTGCATGAAACACCAATAATATTCATTACGTTTAAAATTATAGTAAACAACAGTGAAATCTGAACATGATTTTTTGCAAATTCTTCTAAGGCCAATGGTATAATATGCATATTTATTCTCATTTAGAAAAAGTACTTTAAGGCCATTAAATTTAATGGCCTTAAAGTACATTTGCAATATGCATATTTATTCTCATTTAGAAAAAGTACTTTAAGGCCATTAAATTCTCCTCTCATATTGCTAGCTCCATCATAACCTTGACCACGAATTTTTGTGTGAGACAAAAAATAATTTGAGAGGACTTGTTCAACTCCTTTCAAAAATCTAGCTAATGTTTCGTGAACATGTACAATACTAAAAAAGCATTCAATAATTTAACCTTACTCATTCACATATCATATAACAATTATCATTTGTTTTTTACCTGAAATGTTACGAGCTTCATCAATAATAATAGAGAAGAAACTATCACCAACCTCTTGTTTTATGTAATATGTAATTGCACTAGCTAGAGATGGATCTACAAATATCTTTCTGAATTTCAAGGGCAGTTAATTTCAAATTCTCAGGAGCATTCTTCAGTACAACATTATGTATATCTTCATTTTGCTTTGTTAAAAATTGCAGTAGCTCAAGAAAGTTTCCTTGATTTTTTGAGTCCAAACTCTCATTATGCCCTCGAAATGCTAATCCTTGTTTAGAAGGAATTTCACACAATCAACAAAAGAATGAAGGCGGACATGATATGCATGCATTTGTAACTCAATCAGACTGCATCTGGAAGGCAAAGTTTATATGTTGATCTTGTCTCATTAAATCTTCACAATTTTGCATTGCATTATTATGAGCACTACTAAGTCCTCCTATATGAAGATCAAATCTATAAGATTTTTTCCAATTCGAGAATCCATTTCTGTGAAATGCTTCATCATCTTATTTTTCTCTTCCTTCTACTCCAAAAAGATAGCAAAATAAATAATATGCTTTATCTTTTTGAATACTATACTCTAACCAACATGAGCATCTATCAAACCACCTTGGATTGAAACGTCTATCTTTGTTACCAAACTTACTTTTAGTGAATTCATGATTGCGAGGCTGACATGACCTTTTTTGCAAATATGATCATTGAATTTGATCACAAATATTAACACTAAATTCAGAAATAGGTATACACTAAATATAGATCTGTTACCCCGTTGTCTGATGATTCACCAAATGTTTGATTTCTTTTTTTATTTTTTCATTATCATCTTTTTTTGAATGCTTAATTGGTGTTGATACATAAGATTGTGTGGACTTCTTAAAATACTTTTCCATAATCTTTGTGCAAAATCAAATACCTAAAATAATAAGAACTCATATAATATAAATTATTTTTAATAAAAAAATCTTAAAATATGGAAATATAAATTGTAAACATAAAATAAAAGGCTAATTGCAGAAATGAATTTTGTTTTCTAAACCTAAACAAAAGGCTAATAGCAGAATAAAGTTTTTTTATAAATCTAAACAAAAGGCTAATAGTAGAAATTGTAAATGAACGCATTCATGAACATTTGGCAGCAAATAATTTTCTTTTTTTAACCAACATAACAAATTAAAGGCTAGAGAAATAATCTTCTAAACTAAAAAACATCAAAAAAATATCCAAAATAAAACTAATTACTTCAACCAACCAACCAAATAGAACAAAATAAAACCAAATCTTAAGAGTTTTTTTAGAGGCGCTTACCTTCATGAATATGGAATTGGGACTTCAGCTACGGTCTGCCGCCTGCAGGAAGCCAAAAACTAAAATTAGCCCAACGACGGAGCTGCGAGTCCCCGGATCGAAGAAGGAATGGAGAAAATGTAAATCCGCGAATGAACAAGTATGGGATGCCAGCACAAGCACATGCCGCACGCCGTGATAACAAAGTGAAATCAAGTTTCAAGAACAGGGAATGAAAACACGAGAGAACAATGGGCGGGAAAAGCTTACCCTCCATCTTGGACTAGGTAGCTTATTTATAGATTTCAAGAATGAAGTTTAGTTACAATCATGAGAACTAGACTCATGTAACAAACATACTATGTAATTACAATCAAGTGATTATATGACACGTGTACAAGTACTTAACACCCTCCCTCAAACTGAGCTTGGAATGTCAATGATCAGTTTGCTTGCCAAAGTTCTAAACCGTAGTATAGATAATGGTTTTGTGAATATGTCAGCAATCTGATCGTTTGTACACATATGATGAACTGTGAGCTTATTGTTCTGAATACAGTCACGAAAGAAATGAGAATCCACGTCTATATGTTTCGTCCGAGCATGAAATACAGGGTTATTGGCTAAGGCAATAGTAGACGTATTATCACAATAGACTAATGTAGGTTCTTTTTGTGGAATATGAAAGTCTTCAAGTAATCTTCTTAACCAAATCATTTTAGTTGCTGCTGTTGCTAATGCACGGTATTCTGCTTCGGTGGATGATCTAGCTACACTTGTTTGCTTTTTAACTTGCCAAGAGATGATTGATTTACCCATGAAGTAACAATAACCAGTGATAGACTTTCTATCATGTGAATTTGTGGCCCAATCAGAATCAACATATCCACTTAAAATGAGTGAGTCTCGATATAGAGAAATACCTTTATCTATTGTGCCTTTGATATACCGTAATAGTCTTTTCAATGTTTCAAAATGAACATTGAGTGGATTATGCATGAATTGGGATAATTGATTTCGTGCAAATTGTATATCCAGTCTTGTTAATGTCAGGTACTGTAGAGCTCCGATCAGCTGTCTGTACAACTGAGTATTGGTATACGGTTCCTGAGAGTGAGTATTGAGAGTAACTTTGGTTGATACTGGTGTTGTAACAGGTTTTGTCTCTTGCATTCCTGCACGAAGCAATATCTGTTGAGCATATTGTTTTAGATGCAGTAAAATTCCATGCTTTGTGTTTGTTGCTTGTATTCTGAGAAAATGATTTAATGACCCTAGGTCTCTCAATTCAAATCTGTGATGTAAATTTTCCAATAGCCTTGCAATCTCTGCTTTGGAGTTCCCTGTTAATAGAATGTCATCTACGTAGATCACCATGTATAACCTGATTTTGTCTTTGTGATATGTAAACAATGATGGATCAGCTGCACTCATTGTGAATCCAAATTCTTATATATGAGTTGATAACATTGAATACCATTCTCTTGGAGATTGTTTAAGCCCATACAAAGCCTTTTTAAGTTTGCACACTTGATTGGGATGAACCGAATCTTGAAATCCCATTGGTTGTTTCTTGTACACATTCTCGGATAACTTGCCATGTAAAAATGCATTTGAAACATCAAGTTGATGAATGTTCCAATTGCAATTTAGTGCTATGAGTATGAATACTCGAATAGTGGTGATTTTAGCTATTGGACTAAACGTTTCTGTATAGTCCAGGCCATATTCTTGGTGAAATCCTTTAACTACCAATCTAGCTTTATATCTGGCTATAGTACCATATGATTTCATTTTGGTTCGGTACATCCATTTGCAATCTAGAATGTTCATATTTTGTGAGGGTTGAACTAATTCCCATGTACCTTGTGATTGAAGTGCTTGAAATTCCTTTAACATTGCTTGTCTCCAATGTTCTACCTTGACTTCTTGATGAAAATTCATTGGCTCTGCTTCATGTATAATGTGAGCTAGATCCAATATTTTTTTGGGTTTGGTATAACCACTTTTGAACCTGGTGATCATAGGATGAATAGATTCATGTTTTTGACTTATCTTGTTGTTTGCTGTAGTAGTTTCAGCAGAATTGCTTGCTGATATCTGATTTCCTGAATTATCAATATAATTTTCTGGCTCAGTAAAATAAGACTGAGTATTTAATTGGTTTGAACAGTCATGTGGAGATAATCCAGATAATATGTTGTTCTCATTTCTGAATTGAGGTTTTGTACTGCTTTGATTTGCTTAGGCAGATTTACTGTATGAACCAGCAACAGTGGTGGTATATCCATTGTTTGAGTTTGTTTGTTTCCTTCAGACTTCAATTTATGTTTGAACGGCAGCACAACTTCATTAAAAATAACGTGCCGAGATGTGTATATTTTGTTGGTGTTAGGATCATAACACCTGTAACCTTTTTTGAGAAGTTGCATATCCAATGAAAACACACGGTTAAGATAAAGGAGAAAGTTTATTGTGAGCATATGGCTTAAGCCATGGATAACAGAGACTTCCGAAAACTTTCAAGTGCCCATAAGCAGGTGCATTGCCATATAGAATTTCATATGGAAATTTATTTGATGTATTTGGAGATGGCAATCTATTGATAAGGTAATTGGCAGTTAATAATGTATCAACCCATAAATGTGGAGGAATCGCTGCTTCAATGAGAAGTGCTCGAATTGTTTCCAATAAATGCCTATGTTTTCTCTCGGCAATTCCATTTTATGAAGGAGAGTGAGGACAAGTGTATTGATGAGCTATCCCTTTACTTTTTAATACTGTAAGTAGTTTGGCATTTATATATTCTCCTCCCCCATCACTCCGTAGAATATGAATTTCCTATTAAATTGACATTCTACCATGTTCATGAATTCAAGAAATTTGGAAATCACATTAGATTTTTGAACAAGAGGATATACCCAAGAATACTTTGAGAAATCATTAATGAAAGTTACATAATATCTATACCCTTGAGTAGAAATATATGGCGACGGACCTCATACATCAGAATTATCTAAAGCAAACGGAATGTAAGTTTTGCTTTGAGATAGAGAATATGGTTGTCTATGGCTTTTAGCCATTTTACAGGTATTACACATAGACATTTTATTGGTAATAGCTATATCAGAGTGACGTGTAGCAAGATGAGCTAAAGTATGTGACGAAGGATGACCCAATCATCTGTGCCATAGATCTGGTATAGATTGAATGGAGACTAGAGCTAGATTCGAATTGTGAGAAGCCTGTGCAGAATTGTTTTGGATGGGATAGATTCCATTAATACATGGCCCCTTGAGTAAAATCTTGGACGTCTTCTGATCCTTTATTTCATAACCATGATCAGAAAATGTAACAAAATAGTTGTTATCAGTTGCTTGTCGATGCACATACAGTAAATTGAATGATAGATTTGGTACCAAATTAATGTTGGATAACTGAAGTATACTTGCCGATGTGTTCAGATGACCTTTGCCTGTGCTTTTTATGGGAAGCTATTGTCCATTGCCTACCGTAACTTGATTTTGTCCAGTATATGATTGAGACTTATGTAATTGGTTCGAATCTGATGTTAGGTGACTGGATGCTCCACTATCTAAATACCATTACGTGTTATCAGCCTTTGAAGATGGTGTAAAGAATGCATTATTAACATGTTCAGCATTATACTGCTCATCGTGTCTGTACCAACACTTTACTACTGAGTGTCCAAATTTTCCACATATTTGGCAGGTGACAGTTGTTTTATTTTCTTTTCCCTCTCTATTTGCTGTCGATTGATTTATGTTGTTGTTTGAACTTCATCCACGATAGCAATTTCTTCTGCCACGTCCTCTTCCTCTCGTGGCTGTTAGTACGGTGGAGTTATTGGACAATTGAAGTGCCTCTAATTCTTGATCAGCTTCTTGGGATAAGTTTATTTCTTTAGAACATAGCATCGTATACAAATCATCTAAACTTAGCGGTTGAAGGTTTGTTCTTATGGCTGATTTGAAACCTTGATAAGTGTTGGGAAGACCATTTAATGTATAATGTATAACATCTTCAGAATCAAGAGTATATCCGGCTGTAACTAACATATCCACCTTCATCTTAACTTCTAGTAAGTATTGAGCCATCATTTTATCCTTCATTGTTAGATAGTGCATCTCATTTTTGAGTTGAATGATTTTTGAACGGGTGCTTGATTGCAGTCGTTTATCCAATGTATTCCATATTTTATTACAGTGATCGATCGATAGCATGTAAGGAAGAATTATGGGTGATATCACAGAATACAGAGATCCTGCTAAATTTTGATCCATCAAATTCCAATTTGTAAAAGCAGGGTTTAGGGTGTTCTGACCTGAGGAGTTTTGTCGAAATTTCTATGGTATTTCATTTGATCCATCCAAAAAACCTTCGAAACCATTTGCTCGAAATAGCTTATAGACCTGCGATCTCCAGCTGGGAAATTTATCGGTCGTGAGTGCTTGTGACACCACGTTCTTAATGTTTCCCATCAAGAACTTGAGCGAGGAAGGGATCTGCGAACGATCGTGAGATTCCAGCATGGAGATTTCTTCTTGTTGGTTAGTCGACGACATTGTCGTGATCAACTCAGTCGATCAGAGGGAGAAAAAAAATTATGGATCAACGCTATGATACCATGATAACAAAGTGCAATCAAGTTTCAAGAACAGGGAAAGAAAACACGAGAGAACAATGGGCGGGAAAAGCTTACCCTCCGTCTTGGACTAGGTAACTTATTTATAGATTTAAAAAATGAAGTTTAGTTATAATCATGAGAACTAGACTCATGTAACAAACATACTATGTAATTACAATCAAGTGATTATATGCCATGTGTACAAGTACTTAACACGCTGCACGTGAGACCTTCTGAGGTGGAGCCGCGGAGGCAGAGGTGATGAAACGCTTCACCCGAGACCTTATGAACATTTTAACCAAATGAACGCATTCATGAACATTTGGCGGCAAATAATTTTCTTTTTTTAACCAAAACAACAAATTAAAGGCTAGAGAAATAATTATCTAAACTAAAAAAACATCAAACAATATCCTAAATAAAACTAATTAATTCAACCAACCAACCAAATATAACAAAATAAAACCAAATCTTAAGAGTTTTTTTTAGAGGTGCTTACCTTCATGAATCTGGAATCGGGACTTCATATAACCATATTCCATCTCCTATTCTCATATCCCAAAAGCGCCGCCTCGTGCGATTTAGGGTTTCCTCTTTTTTGCTTCTCTCGGTGCGAGATCGGGCTCGATCCAAGGCTTTTTCTATTTGGATCTCAGAGTTTTGAGAGTTTGGTGGCCTCGTGGTCCTTCTTTGCCCAGTTGGAGCTTTCGTGATGGTTGGGGTGCCATCCACCAACCCTTGGGGGAAGGTGTCAGGCCTGATTCAGGGGCTTAATAGAGGCTTTTTTTCCTTGGATGGTGATGGTGCTGCTGCATCACCAACTCGTTCTTTCATAGATGTGCTCTTTACAAACCCGATGGTAGGTGATAAGATTCCTAACTTAACTCAATCGATCTTTAACAGAGTCCCGGCTGTTATCTTTCTGATGAAGATGTTCTTAAACTAGCGTCCCCTTTTCAATTCACGGTTGTTGGTAAGTTCGATTTGTGTAGACCTAATCTAGACTCGATCCATAATTTTTTCGGTAACCTAAAATGATATGGTTTCTTTTTGGCTAGTTTATTGGATGCTCGTCATGTTGCGATTCATCTATCAAATGATTTGGATTATAGTAGAGTTTTTGCTAGAAGAGCTTATTTATCAATAACTGTCAAATGCGTGTTCTCAAATGGACTTCATTTTTTTATGTTAAAGAGGACTCGACTATAGTCCTGATTTGTATTTCATTTCCAAATTTATGATTACATTTTTTTAACCCCAAAGTTTTGCACGCTCTTGGATCGATTTTTGGTCGTCCCTTGCAAACCCACCAGGCAACGGCTTCGAGAACCCGTCCTTCTGTGGCGAGGATTCTCGTTGAAGTTGATATTTCTAAAAATCATGCTAAGGAAATTTTGGTGGGGTCCAAAGCTTTTGGTTAATTTCAAAAAGTCAAATTCGAAAAGGTCTCAGGTTTCTGCCAGCATTGTAAGATTCATGGTCACTTTGTTTCGGATTGCTTTAAGTTACATCCTAATTTAAAAATAATTCCTATGGAAAATTCGGAAGTGCATGCTATTAACCCTATTAATTTAGATGAGGTTTCACTTGCTGCTATTAATGGTCTTATGGAAACGGAACTGACACATATTTATGTTGTGACACCTGAAAATCCTGTCCCTGTGGATCCTATTTTACCCGGTTAAAATAATTTAGTTTTAAAAAATATTAAAAAGGAGAATAATGTGGTTTCTGATGAATGTGTGAAGGAACCTGATATCTATGTTTCTATAGACTCTATGTTTAA